TTCCAGTTGTGGTAAGAGATAAAGTTTATGTTTTATTAAAAAAGTAATAAATGCACACTATAGGAAGTAAACAAAAGAAGAAAAAAGGAACCAACCCTGGTCCCACAACTCACAGAAAATTACTTTACCTTATTGTAATTCTTCACAGTCATCTTGACTCTATATACACACTCTTCCACTATTAAATTTCCTTCCTGAAAAACCACTAATCATAGTAGAGCTACTTGGGAGGTTTTTTTTTTGTTTTAAATAATGCAGTGGATGTAGGCTCTGCTCACAGTTCAGCATCTGTTTCAGCTTCCTGAGATCATTTTGCCCATGTTACCTTCTGGGTACTACTTTTCCATGGAATATACCTGGTGGGAATGTCCTTTGGAATGCCCTGTGTTCCCCACACCATGAAGAGGGCATCTGACTCAAGTTGGGCTAATAATATGCTAGAACTTGAACTTTGAATCAAGAGACAAAAGTAATCAATTACATGAAAACGGTCAGAACTCAAGCATCCTAATATAATTTCCAAGTAAAGCTGTTGCCCTCTTCTTGCTACTCCATCCCCCAACCCCCTCCAGAAATGCCTTGGTTCCTGAGTCTGCTTCTCCAAACCACTGGTCAGTTAATTGTCCAGTGCCCTTTCTGCAAAGTTTCTTATTGCTTAAGGCAAGAAGAGTCCATTTCTGTTGCTTACAACCCAAAAATCCTCTGTGTAAATGTGGCTAATCATGACACAGGGACCAGTACACAAGGAGCAAGACCCTCCCCCCGCAGTTTGCTACAACTTAACAATCACAGTGATCCTCCCAGATTCCACTCACCTTTTACTAAATTCTTGTGATTTACTCACAGAACCAAGTATTTTATGCCAAGAGTCAGGCATGGTAGATCAGTTGTCTTAAAGACCTTGATTTTTCATCTCTGTGTGTGAGAATTTTCCTTGTGCTGTGAAATTTTAGCAGTTCCTCTAAACAATGGCATATCTGTCCACACCCTTGAATCCAGACTGGCCTTGTAACTTGCTTCAGCTAATAAAATGCAGCAGAAGTAAAGATATACCTACTCTGAGACTGGGCCGCAAGAGGCAATGGATGCTTCTACACTCTTTCTTGGATCCCAGCCTGCTCTACTAGAACAAGACTGGATGAGTCTGCTCAGTTGAAGAGCTACATGAACCAGACAAGAAGTGTCCAAGTTGACACAACACTAGACCAGCCAGTCCTGAGTGAACTTCTTGCTGACTACAGAGCCATATGTGGGTCCAGCCAAGACCAGCCTAGCCCCCTCCTGAGCTACCCAGGTGCTTTATAGACTGATTAGCAAAATCAATGCCCATTGTTATTTTTTAAAAAAAGAGTATAAGAACAGTAAGTGTTGAAACTCTTGATGAAAGACCATAAAACTCAGGCTAGTCTTAATACCTTCGTTTATAAGAATGAGTCCTAGAACCAGAAGGCCTGGCTGAGCTGTCTTCATTCTGCCATGTACTAGTCATGTGAATTGAGTAAGGGTGCCAAGGCTCCCTCTTCTAGAGGAAGATGAAAGTAATGGGGCCAACCTCAAGGGTTACATGGCAAAGCACATGCAAAGGACTTAGGCAGAAGTACTCAGTATAATGTTAGCATTAGAAATATTCTTCTGGGCCTCCCCGGTGGTGCAGCGGTTGAGCACTGGGTTGCGAAGCTGCCCGCAGCCACTGCAGCACCAGTTTGATCCCCGGCTGCTACCCGGCCACCAGAGGAGGGTCCCACATGGCACGCAGACTTCTCCTGCCACCCACTGCTCCCCTCAGCAGTGTACCTCGGTCCTTCTGCCTGCTCTGCTCCCCGCTCTGGCTCTGGTGAATTCTCTCACCCTCCCGCGCTTCTGACTGTACCCAGTGCTTGTATAAATAAATAAATAAATAAATCTTTAAAAATATATATATATATATATTCTTCTTTGACAGTTTGCTCTTCTGAATCAGAAGTGTATATCCTTTCATTCAGTGGGACAAGTGTCCCCATTGAGAACCACAGTCCTAGGCTGTAGCCCACAGGATTGCAAACCAGAGTCCCCACACTGAAACTGCACAGCCCCACTCACTTCTCAGCCTCTTCGCTAACCCTTTGGGGGTGAGGGGGAGAACTGCCCCCAGTAGGGAGCTCAGGTCACAGGTCTCTCCTCTCCAGACCTTGGACCCACACGTGCCCCTGCCTCAGTACCTCTCCAGCCTTCTTGCAGGTGTTTGTAGAAACATGAGTCTGAAACAATATATTTCATCACTGCAGAATGCAAGAATATAGTCATTTGAAGTAAAAGCTAGTGAATTTCAGCTGAATATAGATACATAGGACTGCACTGAATGTTCTCTGCAAAGTTATTTGGTGCAGGGTACAAAGAAGGAACATGCTAGAGATAATAGACTTGCTCTTAGAGGATTTGGGGACTGGATAATGCTTTGTCATGGGGCCCAGTTCTGTGGGTGGGGAGATGTTTGGCAGCAAGCCTGGCCTCCGGAACAGATAACAAAGTACCTGTGCTCAGAGAGGTCAGCCTCTGGTTGACATAAGAGTATATGGACATTTAAAAGCTAAAAGTAAAACCTCAGCTGAATTACAAAGCACATGCACATCTTCCCCAACCCCCAAAAGCATGTAGTAGAAGATTGGGAAAGGAGATGTTTATTACAAGCTAAATTCAATCCCCTACTTTGTACCAGCTGTGTGACCTTGGCCAAGTCGAGGCTCAGGGTCTTTCACAAAATGAGGTTGTAGGATTAGATGATCTATCACTGCATCGCTTCTAGCCCTGACAGATGAGAAATCTATTAGAAAACAGGTGTGTGATAATTCAGCACACCAAGCACAGCCAAAGGGAAGCAGCCTGTTTATGAAAAATCGGCCATATCTGATTGATTTATTCCCATTTTGAATGTGCTCCTAGTTGAGAATGTAAGGAGAGCCCATCAGATAGGGGACATCTGATGTCCAGAGACAGCTGACAGAGCACATCAAATGTCCTTCCGGGGATATGGAAGTGTGGGCTGATGGCCGCAGAGTTTGGACACTTTGTCACGAGTCTATTGCCAAGACACAAGATGGGCACGTGGCTGGGTCTCTAATGGCAGTTCCCATGTTAGACCCAGTAGAACAGGCTCTTCTTCCAGGTTGGTGGTTACTCTGCATCAGTGATTTGGATGGCAATCAAGAAAGCATTTCCCTGAAAACAGTACATGGAGAATCATCAAAATATCAAGAATAGAAATACCATCTGATCCAACTATCCCATAGACTATAAAAACACAATGAAGCACTAATGCAAAGAGCTGTATGCCCCTTGCAGCATTGTTCACAATAGCCAAGAACTGGAAACAACCTAAGTGTCTATGACAGATGAGTGGACAACGGCGTGAGGTGTAAATACACGTTTGAATAATAGTCAACTGGAAGGAAAAAGGAAACTCTGCCATTTACAACAACATGGCCAGACACTGAGGGAAGCATGGCTGGTGAAGAAAGTCAGACAGAGAAAGACAAACATCTTATGGTTTCACTCATAAGTGCTAGACAAAGAAGGAAAACAAATGAATCAAACTACACAAAATAAGCTCTTAGACTATAAGAACAAAATAGAGGTTTCCAGAGGGGAAAGAGGAGGGGGTGGGTAAATCACATCAAGGGGTCAACATTATGGTGATGAATGAAAACCAGCATTCTGGGGGCAAAGGGACCATCCACAGATGTAAGCATCATAGGCTGTCCACCTGAAAACCGATAGAAGTTTACGAACCAATATGACTGCCATAAAAAATGATACTTTCAAAAAGAAAGCCTTTCCTCAAATGTATGGGGTTTGCACAGACAGAACCAAGGGGCGCCCTCTCTTATAACTGAAGTGGGAGCAGTTTCCTTCCATGTAGGTCTCCAAGTCAGTTCACCCTGAAGCATCACCACTTGTGTGTATCCTGTGCGGGGAGGACCCTCTGGCTTCTGCGACCACCCGCCCCTCCTTCCTGGACACTTCACCCCATGTGTGTCCCACTGCATTTATCCACACACACCCCTCCCGCACCCCCCAGTGCCCCCTATAAGACAAGTGTGTGTGGCAGATTTTTGCTGAGGTTCTGGAGGGCATTTACAGAGCAGAGCAAAAAACGTTAAATTAAAAATGAGACACATCAACCCCATAGAAATAGGTTTTCTGGTCCTGGTGCAGGGTGCACCTTCCAGCCTAGTGGCTGGTCCCGCGGCCTCAGCAGCCAGCAGGCATGCAGGTTCCTCCATCACCCCGACACTACCTTCTTAGACGGCTCAGAGTTTCTTGTCTGGACTGCAACTGGTTATTCAACCTTAAGGCGGTCGTAGGGGACAAAGGGCCTGCGTATGGATGGGGAGGGGGGAAGGTGCTTCCAGGCCCCCGCTGGTGGGTCCCCAAGACACCTCTGCCGCAGCCCTCCAAGCTGAGCCCAGCTCATTGGCTAACCGGTCCAGAGCCAGCCAAGGAGCTGTTGGTTGTGTTAGGGGGAAAAGGCTGTCCCAAAGCAAATTCCATACAGGCTTTGTGGACTCCACCCCCACCCCAGGTCGAAGCCAAAGACACTGGGAACTCCAAATCCCATCACCACCCAAGGGAAGGTGGCTAGGACCTGAGGGTGGGGTTAAGCAGCCAGGTGGTTACAAAAGGCAGACACGTGGGCTTTGGGGGGGTCCCCCATTTTGGCTCTCCACCAGCTAGCAGCGTCCGGCCAGCTCTGAGAGTGCCTTTGGGTTTCCAGGTCGTCGGATCGGGTAGGACGCATTAAAGACTTTATTTCCCTATTTTCTCCCTGAGTTGTACATTTTCCTTATTTCCTTTTCTCTTGTAAATAAACCTTTTATTAACCCTTTTGCTTGTGTCTGTAGTAGAGTATTCATAAGTCCCTTTAAAGCGCGCGGGTGAGGACCCACAGCCAGGAACCCGTTCAATATCGGGGTTGCTCTATAACAGTTGGCTGTCCCGAACCCACTGAGGCCTTCATCTCCTACCTGCTCGGATAAAATCCACAGGTTCAGAGGCTGGCCATGCCCCCGAAGCAAGAGTCCTCGACCCCAGTGAAGAGTGACTTTCACAGGACAATGACTGTCCCTCAACCTCATAGCAGCAGCAATGCCGGGGAGCCGTGCAGCCAGGCCTCTGCACAAGCAGCGCTCCCTGCACCCCTGGCCAGGGCCTCTTTCTGCCGCCTCAGTTTTCCTTTTTTGAAGTTTTTTATTGTTATTAAACTGATGGGATTTAAAAAAAAAAATTCTGCCTCCTTTTATTGCATGCGGGTCTGCTGGAGTCTCTGCTGCCCTGACCTTTCCTGAGCCAGTGTGGGCGAAGGGGGCGGGAACTTGCCTTCAGCTGAAGGGCCCGGGAGGAGTTTTCCTAAGCAATCGCCTCATCTACGCAAGAGATGGATTTTGCCTTTGGCTCCAGGTGGAATTTAAGGGCTTCCCTGATGCTCAGATTCGGTGACTGCAGGTTTTCCTTTATTGTCTCCAGTTGGCCACAGGCCCCAACAATGGCGCCCCTCCCCCTGCAGGCAAGGGTGGGGACAAGGTTCACAGGATGTGTGGATCCAGGTGTCCTGAAATACTCTGATGACTGTCATTTATTTGCAAATCTTTCTTTGTGCTTTTGTTGAAACTTGAATATAGCCTCGAGCCCATTCAACAACCGGAAGCTGGAAGTTCAGTGGCAGCTGTGGAGCAGTGATGAGGACGAAAGAGTGAAAAATGACTTGGAGGAAAAAAAACCCACAAGCCCAAGGCAATGAAATGCCCATGCCCGGAAAAGGAGTGCACGAAATGAGATTCAGGATTTGGGTCCCAAAATACCACCCTCTCTTTTTTCCTCCCATTTGGAGCCAGTGGGGAGCGGGGAGCCGAGCCAGCAGATATGGCTCCCAGCGTCCCGCTGGGGAGGTGGGAGATACCAAGACAGATGGCCCCAGGGAGTGTGGGTGAGCCTGACGTCAAGTTTATGAACCAAATGGCATTTTCCGAGTCCCTCCTTTCCAAACCCCACCCAGAACAGACCCACTCACTCAAAGCATGGATGGCCGCCTCCGGAGGGAACCCCAAGGACTGGCTCCCAAGCACAGTTCCCCAGAGAGAATAAATGGCTCTGGGGGCTAAGCATGGCATGCCCCGTGCCCCAGCGCCGCTCAGTTACCCAACTCAGGCTCATAGACACCTACTGTGTGCCCGGCACTGTGCTCTGCAGCAGGGCGACCAGCGTCCTCCTAGAGAGAGAGACAGTGGATACAAAATAAAAACGAAGATTGTGGCTGCAAGTTAAAAACCGATGTGAGATTTTTCAGGACCAGCCATAAGCAACCACAAAGGCTGGACCCAAAGGACCGGCCTGGGATGGCCAGTGCCTTGCGCGCTCCCAAGGGGGTTGCAGTTAGGGGCACGAGCCCCTTGGCCGCGATGCTTGTCACATACTTGCATTCCTCAGGCCTGTGCTCATTCCTCAGTCTCCTTTTCTGAGACCTCGGGCTGACGTCTTCAGCCTCCCCTGCCAACGCCTCCTTTTGGGGGAAAGTAGGAAAATCTTGAAGACAGTTTTTCCATCCTGACTCAGTACCCAGTATTTTTTTCTCTCCGCGGCTACACACACTCCTCTATCCCTAGGTCCCTAAAACTGCTGGGACCTTTTGTCCAGGGTCCTCTCAACAACCAGACCACCCCCCACATCTGTGCTGCCCAGCATAAGCACACCAGTTCACCAGCGGGGAGGTGGGCAGGGGACTGGGGACTTCTGCGGCTTGGCCTCTCCCTTGAGCTCAGGACTCACCGTTAACTCTCATTTTCACTCCTTGATGCTTTAATCCACGACTCCCGCACCAGGTACCTCAGCCTCTCTCCAGCTCACCTCAGCTCCTGGAGATAAATGAAATAAATAAATAACATAATAAAACATCAGATGGATTTTTGGGGGTGTTGTCTTAGAATGCTGGCAGAAGGGCAGAACAGAGAACAATAGATGACAAAGAAAACCCCTTCCATTCTCCCAAAAAACTCTAACCAAAGGACAAAGATGTCGACCATCCACTCAGGATTTCCTAAGTGGAGCTGAAACCAGTCTTTAGTCCCATGCCCCACAACGCACCCTTCACCTCAAGCCTGTTTATTTGTGTGTGTGTTTTTCTCTGACAGTTTGGAAGATGAGCAAAGTATATGTTACCAATTCACCACCAGTTACTCTGACCTAACCCTTTACGACCACTGCTCCGCAGAGACCTTCTGCCAGGCGGTGTTTGAGACACTCCCCAGGAAGCCCCACCCACTCAGGTTGTCCATCTAATTTAATAGCTCTATACAGTGAGCCCTTGCTCATTATAATGGACCATTAAAGTGGTCCATTATAATGGACCATTATAATAATGCATTGTCCAAAAACACTTTTAAGGTGAGAACTATTATAAGCCTTATTTTATAGCTAAAGTAACTGAAGCATGGAGAGTTTCATGGCCAAGGTGAACCAGTTCTTCTCAAAATCTCTCTACCTCTGGTGCTAACTTTTTGGGTCTGAGACCCTCACCTGACTCCTGTCGACCAGATGGGTTTCCTCCAGCTCATGGGCGTTGTCTGCCTCCCACAGGTCTGACATGACCCTTTGTCTCACTACATACAAGCATCTCCCATGAGAAATCTCAGACCTGGTTCTGCCCCTGAACTCTTCCCATGTAGAGGCCTGTAGCATGGAGACAGACTTGAAACGCTAGATCTGCTTATACCGGCTTATGGGAACCAGTCCTATGTATCCTCTATCTACTCTGCATTTAACCACATCATGTTGATGGCTTGAAATCTGCTGCAGCAAGAGTATTTACACCACAGAAGTAGGCAAACTCCCCAATCAGGGCTTTGTTGGAGGGAAAGCCACATTTATCAGTATCCTGCTTATGGCAGATATTAGGGATAAAACAAAATCATCTATTAGACATCTTAGAAGTATTTTCCTCATTTTTTGATAAACAAATCATTCCTAATTCCCAAGACCCCATCAAAAGATGTGGGGCTGAAGTTGTCCACATAGGAGCCAGTGCTTGCCCAGAATGCAAATATCTTCCCTCAGCCCATGTTGCTTTCTCTGCTGCATTAAGAGCAGCAGCCTAAGAAACTCTTTCATGCTTTCCTACATTCTGTTGAGCTTGCAGTCTTGCTGGAAGGAGGGAGCCAATCTCAGGTGCTGAACATCAAAATGCTTATTGGAACAGCTGCTGCTTTCAGCTGAGTAAGCAGGACATTCAAGGGTGGTGCTTTCTAGCGATGGTGCTACAGCCCAGTTAAAAATTAGTGTTAGGGGTGGAAAATAAGAAGCAAGAGAAAAGCCATCTGATCTTTGATAGATGCCAGAAGCTTTCTTTACACTGTTAAACAGTATTGGGTGAAGGAAAGGATATGTGCACCCAAACCATGGCTCTTCCACTTGCTACATTCTCTGGTGGACAGAAAAGGGAGGAGAGACAGACAAGGTGTCATGAATATATGGAGTCATCTCAAGTCAGTGACAATCTTAAAAACAGCACTCATTCACTTGCTTAGTCAATATTCATTAAATATCCAAATCATTCACCTCCCATGCAGCAGGAGACATACTAGGGAGAATTGTCAACAATAGAGACACAGCTCTTGCCCTCCTAAAGCTTCACATCTAGTGGAAAATAGAAGCATTAAATGTATAGTACTGTATAGTACCAATCAGGGGTGATGTTTGTTGTGATAAAGAAAATAGATGAGCCATAGAACGCAATAGTGAGGAGTTGTAGGTGACCTAGTGCAGGGACCAGAAAATAGAATCCTGCTGGGGAGCGAAAGGCAAAGTGGCTAGAAAAGTGTAATAGGGATGAATATGGACGCTGACAGTGGCCAGGGACTAGTCACTCTTGCAGGTCATGGAAGAGCAGTAGCCTGGGCCAGACTCTATGGGCTTAGAAGTCAGAGAACTAAGTTCAAACCCTAACTTGACCACTGACAAACTGAGCAAGCCTCTGAAACTCCAAAACACAGTAGCTGCATCATGTATAGGGCAGTAATCCTACTTAGCTCCCAGACTTACTACTGGAATTAAATTTGCTTGGGAGATAGGACTTAGCGTGGTGTCCTGCCCAAGGTCGGTGCCCAGTGAAAGATCACTATACAGAAAGATTAATCGATGAGAACCATATTTGGAAAAATAAGGATCTATTAAACCGCACACACAGGCCACTTGGTGAGTAAGTGCCAAAATATCTATCAGCAGAAGGATTTAATGAGGCTTAGCAGCCCTGTCCTGTAAGGTAATCTGAGAGTTTGCACAGCAAGAGGCTTCGAAGGTGCGTGCATTCAACATATCCCGAGGAGTCAGCATTTGTTTGCAGCCACCACGGGAACATACCCTGTCCTTGCCACCTACCTTGTCTTCTTTACCTGTGCAGCTCTTACCTGTGTTGACTCTTTTCCCAGCTTTTCCCAGGTGAGATTTTATTTAATTCTTTTCAATAAATAGCCATAGGATATTTCACCTGATTTCAATTGTTTACCTTGAAAGGCCATTGTTTTAAACACATTCACAAATCAGAAAATATCCCATGATCTGATGACGTGTGCCAACTTGACATCAGGAAAATGTGGTCCTTGGGAGACTCGGAGCCTTCTAAAAGTTGGGGGTGGAAGAATCGATTCAGATGGTACTGGTGGTATCCCCAAAACATATCACCTGTTTTACATCTCCTGTGATGTAGGTAAATTTTAAAAGTCGACAGTGCTTCCATACGCTGTGTTTGCGGCAGAGACAACAGGCTGAGATGTGTTGTCTTCTTTTCACCTTTGCTCACCTTTTGCATAAATTATCAAAGAAGTAACAAAATGCAAGTTGATCAGGGTTCCCACTTTAATTTAGCAAGACAGGTCATAATGACTTTGTTCCTTGGCCAGACCTGCCACGGAGCTGTTGTCATATACTAATGTGATGTGACTTGGAAGGTCATAATAACTATGACAAGATAAAGGGAATTAGTTAAAACTTAATTAAAGCCACATGGATAACAAGTACAACACTATGTTTAGTAACTTGAATTCTTTGTTGCCGGATCTGCAAAAAAAAGAAGATGCTTTGCAGCGAGTGAATAAAGACCACTTTTCCATGGTCTGAAATGATCAGATCAAACATCAGAATCAGAAGATGAAATTGGTGATGCTGGAGGCTGACTGTTCTCTCCCTGTCCACTCAGAACAGAGTAAGAAGACAAGAGGTGGCATCTCAGCCATCCAGAGATCAGAAGCATGGCGTTGGTAGTTATGATATTTTAACAAGCTTATTAAAAGGCAGATCCTTGGGATATAATTTCAGACATTCTGACTTGATAATCTGGTGCAACAGACCTGAAATCTTTGTTTTTAGCTAGCACCTTGCAATGTTAAAGTTATTGCTCATAAAAATATTTGTGGTGACACTAGACAAGGTGAGGAAGAGGATCCTGGGAGACAATGTCAATATCCTGGTCTTCAGTAAGCCTTTACCATCACCCCCATCCTTCCCACCATCAGCATCCTGGGATAAAGCGCAGCTGAACCATGATAACCATTACACCTGCTGTGTGGAGTTTTCCTAGTCCCCACCCCCGTCTTCCATCCCCCTCTCTTGACCTCAATTCTGCAGTCAGATTTCTAGAAGGTGTCAGGGTTAGTTTTGTCAGTTCCTTTGTTCACAGTCTGATTGTATTAAATTCTATGTTACATAGAGGGTTGGACAAAAATGATAAAGAGTGATAGGTTATGCTTCACTGTAGCACACGGAAGGATCTGCTTAGAAAGGTAACATTTGGGTCCAGTGGACTGTGGTGCAGGACTCTGGTGACATACATCTCAGGAGGTATGAACTACACCTCTCTGTCATATACGGTGTTGTAACCAATGTTACCTCAATAAAAAAAAGAAAAAGAAAGGTATAAGTTGGGTCAGGAGAAACCTGATTTGAATCCTGACTCCTTGACTTTTCAACTCCGTGGTATTCAGCGAGTCACTTGCCCTTTCTCAGTGTCTGTTTCCCTGGATAGCTGTTAAAATCAAACGTGACAATGATGTTAGGCTGCGGTTTTCAAACTTCAGTGTGTGCATACATGACCTCTGACTCGCGTGTAGATTCTACTCAGTGGGTTTGAGGTGGAGCCTGAATCCATGAGCTCCCAGGCATGCTGGTCCATGGCCCACACTCAGCGTAGCCAGGACATAAGACTTTGAGGGGAAGGCTCAGGGGCACATTCCATTCAGGTGAGTTTCTCTCACATCTACATCCCACGTATTCACTTTCTGAAGGGGCTATTGCTGGGCTAAGAAAAACCAGACAAAAGAAGACCCAAAAAAAAAAGTCTAAGAAATTCACAGCTCTATACTAGAGGTTGATTAGGGTCAAAAGAAGATATATTTAAACCTAATTAAGATAAAGGATTCCTCACTAGACTGAGAGAAACTCTAAGTGTAAAAGCTCCAAGGACACGACTTCTGTCAGATTGCTGTCAGAAAACGTTCCTTCAAGGAAGCGCACTGACAGCCTTGGAGAGTGACAGTCCTAACTGATTCCAAAGGCATTTTTGATATTCTCCAACTCTGGAAGTAATAATAATACCTTTAACTGATAAATTGTTATAAACTTTACAAAACCCATTTGCATGAATGCATCCAGGTCCTAAAACCTGTTATTTCTTAAACCTGTAATTTGCTCAAATTGGAGGCTGTGAACTCCTGCAGGGCAGGGGTCACGCCTTGTTCTTGTAAGTATCCCCAACATTTGACAAAGGTCTGGCATCTAATCGGCATTCCACAAATACAGGTTTGAAAAGAGATTTTTTTCCCCCAGTTCCTCAAACACACACCGTCCCACTTCAATGAATGGAAGTCAACATCAATTTTATGATACACTATTATTTTATGTGTCTCCAAAGGAAAAAAAAGTTACTATTTAAACCCGTGCATCATTGATTGCAAGCTGCATGCCACCTTGAGAGGGGTGAAAATGTGAGCGAGAAACATGCTTCTTACCACTGAGAAAGAGCAACGACAGTGGGGCAACCCTCCAGCACAGAGATGGGTGGCAAATGCACTTTAGTTGTGTTGAAGGTGCCAAAAGCAAGGAGGGAGACAAACAGGGACAAGGAGCTGCTTCTTTATGACACAGGGTGTGTCATAGCTTCAGTGGCTCAGGCGCAGCCATGAGCTCTCCTCCGGTTGTAGTCGGTCGGCAGCCATCTTGTCTCAGGAAAAACACCAGTAGGCGCCCACCATTACAGGAGAAAATGCAGACCAAGTGAAGAGCAAGATCTATGAGACCATCTTCCGAGGCCAATGGCCCTTTAACAGAATATATACTGCAGGAGAGGAGGAGGAGAGAGATGGGGTGGAATAGCAGCTCTTAGGGAGCCCAGAGCTAGCAAAACCCAGTGAGAGAGAATGCCTGGCACCACTGTGGAGAAAGAGACCAGAAGTCTCAGCCATGAGTATCAGGACCAGAACCCTTCATTTGTCTTGCTGAGTCCTAGAATGTGTCACTCCATATGACGCCCCACTGAGGGGACCTCCTGGACCCACACACTAAGAAGTCTGCTTAGGTTTTGATTTGACTTGAAAGGACTTTTGTTGAGGCTCCCGTCTTAAGTCTTAACTTGGGCCAGTTACTCTGAGTCAGTGTCCTGGTCTCCAAAACAGTGAGAGTAATCCTACTCACCTCGCCCTATGGGAGGATGCACTAAGCTCATACTTGCAATGCTGGTCATTTTCACTGCTGTTCTTTGCCTGGAAAGTGCTCAGAGGTGGACACCAAGACACTTAACATGCTGACCAGGACCCCAGCTGCATGGACTGGTAGTGCTCCTAATTTTTTATCCCAAATCAAAAACACACAACTTGGACTCACACAAGCAACAGGAAAGTGAAAAACACACACACACACACACACACACACACACACACCCCTACTCAAACAACGATCCCAACTCTAGAAAGCTGGGGGCTGGCCTTCCAAGGATGGGGGCATGTCATCCCCTTGCAGCCCAGCAGCTCAGAGACCAAGCACCCAAGGTGGCCCACTTGGCGGCGGCTCTGTGGCTCCATACAGGATGCAGCTCATGTGCAATGTCATCTGTCTTGAGCACAAAAGCTTTAACCTCTGGAATCAAACGTGTCTGTTAATAAACCCATGTGCTGCTCACGCCATTGCCCAGCGGCGCCCCTCAGAGCCCCGCAGCAGGCACATCTGATTTGTGGCTGGTTCAACTGCTTAGGCACGACATAATTCAGAAATGTGAAAGATCCCAAATTATCTTATCCTGAGGTGACAAATCAAGTACAGCGCCCACAAGCCCAGACAGTTACACGCCAAATAAACCAAACTCAGCAGAAGACACAGTATCAATCTCACAACAGTTTAGGAAAAACAAGTTTACTTCTTATCAGAAAGATTAATGAACCAGGCTGTGACCTCACCTCTAATTGTGGCTGAACAGAAATTAGGTGCTGCTTTTAATCTATTCTGCAGTAACATAATAATGTCATGTCACAAAGTTCATAAAGAAAGGGTCCGCACTTATTTGTGGAATTATTTAAAACACCCAGTGACCGGCCATTAATGCAAAATTATTAAATTTTTCTTAGAGACACTGCTGTTTTTAAATACATATATCAGGTGCAGTCAAATTAACAAAAATGTCTTCTCACTAATTAAGACTGTTTTCCTACTGTAGGTGCAACTATAGAGAATGTTTATTGATAGAGCTTATTACTGGCATAATTAAAAAGCTATTGACATGGTATATCTTTTTGACACTTTGCTGAACTTATTTGTTCTAATAGCGCCTCTCTTATTTCTTCCACTTGATTTTGAATGAATGTTTACGTTGTTTGGATTTAGTCAGGCCCATCATCCCTGCTCCCACATCTGAACTGGGACCCAAGGTCTGAAAAGAAGGGGCAAGAAAGGAGATAGAAGAGGCCAAGAGGACAGAGAACTTGGCTCTCTTTAGGACAGTGACCCACCAGAAGCTCCATCACACAGTACAATCCCTTTTCTAACTTGAAATTTTGCCCAAGCTGGTTGTCTCTTTAACAAAACTTCCCTTGGTTAAAAAGCATCACAACCAGTGAGCTGTCTTCCACCAGCAATACATGACATGTTTTCCCTTCAAACTACAATTTCCATCTGTAAGCCTCTGAGTAAGCACAGGGAATTCATCTGGAGGAAAATCAATTTTATTAGAGAAGCGAAGAAGGCAATGCTCACCCCGAGGCAGAGGCCACACCTCCCTGAGAATCTTCAGTAAGAAGCAGGCTCCAGACTTGGGTCCTGTCTACACCACTGATACAGGCAATGGAATTTGAATAGAAATTAAAGTTGGGTCATTCATACTATTATTACATGTAAATAGATTCGAAAGGAAAATTATGATGAACCAATGCTGTTGGGCACTGAGTCTGGGTGATGAACTGTGTTCAACTAAAGTAGGATGTTCTAGACAAGACACATTCAGCTGAAATGGTCTTTTAGGCCAAGTGTGTGTGTGTGTGTGTGTGTGTGTGTGTGTGTGTGTGTGTTCTTTTCCAACCGATGTCTTGTTCTATGCCTAAATTAGCCAAACCAAGTATAGTCAACAAACAAACATTCAAATAGGTTACAAATAAAATGGGCTATTTTACTAATGAGTAGACGATGAAATGACTATAGAACACCCTCACTGAAACAAAAACTAGAACAATTAGGGTCAGGGTATTCTGGGGAAGGCCCAGAACCCATTATTTTCCCTCTGTGGCTGCCTCACTTCTTGCACCAAAGAAGGCTTCCATAAGTACAAAAAAGCTGCTCACCAAAGATTTCTGAATTTCCATCTGGGAACCCTTGTAATTCTGGGGGTGTCAATAGCTGGAAAATTCTGATCAAGTCATTCTTGGGTTTATGTTTGCTGGTGAAGAACAAAGGCCTCATGCTGCAGCTACAAGCACAGAAAAACACTTAGGTACTGCGCTGGACCTTTGCCACAGCCCTGAGGTCTTCCCAACAGCTAGAAACTCAAGAGAAATTCATCGGGTGAGCATCTTCCTTCCTTTTCACCAATAAGACCAAAACAAAGGACAACCTAATTCACCACCAATGATGATGAGAAGGAACGGTGTTTACGGCTTAAGTAAAGGCATCTCAACTAAAATATTTGCCTTCTCAAATCTCCTCCACACTCCCTTTCTCCCTGACCAAGCTTAGCTCCCATCTGGATGAAGTTCTCTTCCTTTCTCGAAGCTCAGAATTCCCTGAGCTCTCTCTCCTCTGCATCACCCTGTCAAGGTGCATGTTGATGGTGCCTCGCTTTTGCTATTTACATGATGCCTTGTGTCTAATCTCATGTGTTAAATTTTCACGAATACATACCTTGTTCTTCCCAAAGGCACTGGAAATATCATCAAAGACAAAAGTTATTTTTCATTCTTAACTTTTTAGACCTAAAGACCTTGCACAATATCCAGTAGAAAGTCGCAGCAGCTTCCTGCACCCAGACATCCACGGCTGGTTCCAGTTTTTTCACTGTCACTTTGGACAAATTACTTGCTCTACATCACAAATTAAGATGTGCACCCCCAAAAAATATATATTGAATGGTTGCCAATGAGATGTAAGAGGAAAAGGGCATGGGGGAAGGAAGGACAAAAGAGGGGAATGAGGGACAGGAGAAAGGAAGGAAGCATAATAGGTTTAACTCAAGCAACTGGCACAGGACTAGCACAGACCCCATCTTCTCTAAATGTCAGTTTTTTCACCTAATCTTTTCTTCCTTTGTTGGGAGCCTTCAATTCGGAGGGATTTTCTTATCAGAAAACTGTTAAAAAGAAAAAGTAATAAACTATGCAACCATAAAAAAAATAAAATAAAGATAATAGTCATACTTACCCCAAAGAGTTGTTATGAAAACATGATAACAAATGCAAGTACTTTCTAAGTTCCTAGGATATCACAAGAGTTCAAAAAATATTTGGAGGATAAGGCAAGATGTGCTGTATTAACAAACCTCTATGATTCACTAGCTTCAAACAATTAAGATTAATTTCTTCTCGTTATGTACTGAAAGGATCAGCAAGGGATTCTGGCCATCAAGTTCCCCAAGGGCCCAGGCTGAGAACAGACGCCATCTTGCTGGTTGCCAAGTCAGAAAAAAGAGAGCCAGAAAGGCTTTGTACCAGCCCTTAAATATTCTAGAATGTCAGTGATCTGTCACACCTCCACTCAAAACTCATTGGCCACAGTATCACATGGTCTCATTCAAACATTTGGGAATGAGGAAATATAATTCCACCACATGCAAATCTCAGCTGAGTATCCCTACTGGCACCCAAAGCATCACTTGTTATCATTGTATGGTTGCTATGATACACACATAGAATACAGATCCGTACTAAAGATAGGGTTGGTGTTAGCTTATATCAACTTCAGTACAGTCAAGTTTTCACATGAATGGGATTCCTCTAGGCTTATGGAGGCCTAAAGATTAAACTACATGAATACACACACACACACACAGAGACACACAGACACATTATTTTAACCTAATCTGAGTACTGCAAATCACCTTGAAATAAGGAATATGAAAGTTAATATATGCTTGATATTTAACAAGTGATATAGGCTTTTTAAAAGTTATCAGTTCCACCACTCAAAATCAAATATTTCTTTGTTTTGTTTTCATTTTGTTTCCTGATCTTTGAGAGGCATGTCCTCTATTTCCTTTTATTTATTTTTTAAAATTGTGATATAACTGACATAAAACATCTTGTAAGTTTAGGGTGTTGCACATGTTGATTTGATGCATTTGTATATTGCAATTTGATTACCACTGTAATGTTAGTTAACACCGCTCTCAGGTCATACAATTATCACTTCTATGGTGAGAACGTTTAAAATCTAGTCTCTTAGCAACTTCAAATTATATAATACAATATTATTGACTTTAATCTCCACATTCTGCACCTGATCACCAGAATTTATTCATCTTCCAGGCACAAGTTTGTACCCCCCAAAAAGCAAACATTTTGACATTAAGTCCCTCCTTCTAGTCTCTTTTCATGAGTCATTGTTTCTTTATGTTTTGCATTATCATATGTAACTTTTGCCTGAATGTTTTCATGTAGATATTCCCTTGTATTGTTGGAAAGTTTCCTGACCGTCCCCCAATAGGCAACCATGTCAGCGTTCCTGGCCTTAACACTGGCATCAAATCAGCCACCTAAGAGTCATACTCCTTCTCCAGCATCCAATCTATCACTCAGTCAATTCCACCTCCTATTTGATTCATCTACTTTCCTCCTCCATTGTCATCACCCTAAGCCAGGGGTCCTCAGCTACAGTACCCTTGACATTGCAGCTCAGATAATTCTTGTTTGCAGGGGACTACACCAGACATTGCAGGGTGTTCAGTAGTCTGGCTTCTCCACACTAGATGCCTTCCCAAATAGCAACGATTAAATTTCTCTTTTGAGAAAAAGAAAAATACCGGATGGTCTCACTCATAACAGGAATCTAGAAAACTTAAATAAGGGACCAGGAAAATGAATATAAGAAAGTGAAAATCAAAATCAACAAAAAACTATGAACCAGAGACACTTTTAGGGGGGCAGGGGGGGGGGGAGGGATTGGGGTCAGAATGGGGGGGCTGCAATTGTATGGGGAATATAACAATAAAATTTATTATTAAAAAAAAAATAAATTTCTCTTTTGGAGAGGGAAATTAACCATTTTTAAACACCTGCAAAACATTCTCCATTACAAGGTCAAGGAAAAGTTGACTGTCCCTGAGTTTCAAAAAAAAAGCTGAAAATAAATACTTGGTTCCCTATCCCCTCTCCTCTCCCTCATATATATATATAAAAAATCTTATTATTTTCATATTTATTTTATATTACATTATTTGTAAGATTTAATGTTTATATTTAATGTTTATATATATTTAAATATAATGTTTATATTTAATGTTTATAATGTTTACACACACATATGTATTTGTCTCATTTAGGATAAATTTCCCAAACTAGAATTATTGGGTAAAACATTAAATATATATTTAAGGTAAAATTATTTCTGGTCATTTCTGTTCCCACTCTTTTCCATGGGAAATTCTAAATAATAAATCAGTGTTCCTTAGAAATGGTTATCTTGGATTACAAATTCCAGTTCCTTCCAGTTTAAAGTCTTCTCTCTCATACTCTTAGACTCTTTAAAACTACACACACCACATGTCCTTAATAAATGACTATTGAATTAAATTCCTGGCATTCCTGATGCTTAAAACTAGCTATTTTTAATATGAACTTTTCCCCCAATCTGTAAGAAGACTGCAACATGTCTTAATTTTTTAGCTTCTAAGCCCTTTTGTCCTCTGACTTATAAATATCTAGAGCCTTCAAAATCATGTTGTTATTTTACAAGAATCTGAGTTGTGTCAACTTTCCAATTCTGTTAGTCTCATTTTTTAAAGGATCTTAATGTTACAGGGCAAACCCCAATGTGAAATGGGGTTTTCACACTGCGCGCTTAAAAGGGGTCCTCACCTGCGCGCTTAAAAGGGATTTATTATAATGAGACTCAACTGCAGGCACACACAAAAAAGGTTAATAAAGGGTTTATTTACAAAAAAAAGGGAAGTGGAGTGAGGAATAACCCAGGGAGAAAGAGAGAGAGAGAAATTGGTAAATGCATCCTACCAGTTCCTCTGAGCTGGGACCCCAAGAGCTGGCTGAAGGCTGGTGAAAAACCAACCACCCCCAGGCCCACGTGTCTCTTGCTAGATACCAAGCCTGGCTGCTTAACTGCACACTTAGTTCCCCCCCATCCACCCCTCAGTGGTGAAGGCTTTATGGGATTTGCAGTCCTTAGTGCCTGGGATCTCTCTGGTCTGGGGTTTGGGTGGGGCCCATAAAACTGAGTTTGTGGAGTTGGTTCTGGACATCGTTGCCTCCGGATATTAACACATGTCCTCCTGACGAGCACGATAAACTCACGGTGATTGCCTACATCTTCCTGAAATTCAAGTAAGAGTTTGCTTGTGTTTAGGTTTTTAAAATGCAAAATGATTTTGAGCCAGTACTTCTGTTTTTTACCTAATATGCTTCACTAAAGATCTAGCCAATGCCAAAACTAACCATATGGTTGACAAAAGGAAAAAAATTAGAGAGCAATTCAGAATTTGTCCAAAAGTCATTTTTTTCTTTCTATTGATCCCAGTTAAGAAAAGAAATAGGCAGTTCTAAGACAAAATAAAGTGTTGCCTGTAATAGCCCATTAAATAGCTTTTTTCACCCACTATTTATACTTTATCAATACCTTAAAGATTTTATTAAATCAAAATTATTGTCTTTCTGCAACAAAGCCACTTGGCGACATACATTTGTGGTGGGGTTAGAGTCTGACCATAGACTGTCTTTAAGGGCACAACAGCCCCCCCCAAGGCCCCCCAGCTCTGCTCCCACAAGGATTCCTGTACAAGGAGTTTTACTGTGGCATTATTTATAATATGCAAAAGCAGGAAACCATGTAAACCTCCAACATGCGAGGGCTAATTAAATATATTGCAACCAATAAAAATTAAAGAAAGAAGACTTGAGGGCCTCAGTGGTGGGTATGTGAGGTAGCATATACCTGAAGAGGTGTGAACCCACACCCCTAAATCCTACAGTAAACCAATGTTACCCCAATTAAAAATAATGATTTATGGAAAGAATGTGTCAATATGAAGTGCATTCTAAGATCCATTTCAAGGGAATAAAGCAAACTGCAGAACGTGTGTATAAAATGCGGAGTACACTAGAATATTTCTAGTGGGTTACCCAAGATACTCGTAATGATTTTTTTTTTTTTTTTACAGGGAAGGCAGCAGGAGACCTGGTTCTAAGATGGAAGGAAAACTTACCTTTCATTGAAATGGTTTCATTTTTATCATGAGCATTATGAATTTTTAATTTGAATTCAAAGTAGACAATAAAATAGAGGGAGGAGAAACTTTGGGGCTATATTTCATGAAACAATAAAAATCCCTATCCATTTCAGTGAATGGCAATCAGTTCAAACTTGAACTAGAAACTAATGTATCTCTAACCCTGCCTGCAGAATTAGAATGTCTAAGTAAATCTGACAGTTTTAACCACATGCCAGTCATGTGCTCAGTCATTCACTCACTGAATAGAAAGGCACTGTCAGCAGATCAAAGACAGGTCCTGACCCCATGAGCATAGCAGGGAAGACCAGCCTTCCACCTCAGTGCAGTCTCTGTCTCTCTTTCCAAAATAACTTACCGCGTGGAATATATTTGGACGAGGTGACTGAACCCACGGATAAGTGGGGACTGCTGTCCAGGTATGAAAAGGTTGGGGATGCGGGAGAGACCCTCAGTCACATGACCCAGGATCCTGAAGGTAAAGCATCACCAACCACACTCTAAGGTCAAGAGGAATTCTGAGGGGGCATATTTGTTTCCTGGGGCTACGGAACAAACTGCTACAGCCACACAGGGATTTATTCTCTCACCCATCGCTCTGGAGGCCAGAAGTCCGGAACCCACATATCTGCAGGGCTAGACCCTCAAGGGAAGGGTCCTTCCCTGTCACTCCCTGACTTCGGTGGTGGTCGCCAACCGGCTTCAGCATTCCTTGGTTTGCAGACACGTCACTCCAAACTCTGCTCTGTTATCACATGACCTTCTGCTCACTGTGTCACAGTGTCTCTGTGCAAATGCCCCTCTTATTTAAGGACACAGGCTGGGTAGGCTTAAGGGATCTCCTTTATCAGACTGTCTTTATCTGACCTTGATGACATCTGCAAAGACCTATTTCCAAGTAAAGTCACCTTCTTGGGCAGGAGCTCTGGGGTGACACTATTGCACTAGAAGCAGCAGGAAAATGCCACCATCTGATTTAGAGGTTAGGAAGATACCAGGGGGCAGCTAATGGAGAAGCCACACTAGGAGGGTGGAGATCACTTTCACATACACGTTCTGAGCTCCTTCTGCATGTCCATGATTGCATCCTCAGCCTAGGGGAGGAAGTCAGAGAGGTGGCTTTACCTGTCAGTCACAGGGTGTACAAACTCAATCCAGCACTCAGCTCTCACATAAGTCTCCCAGGCCCCTGGGTTCAGAGCTGAGAGGGGATGAGGCGGTGAGAATCCTGGGGCAGAGGCAAGCGGCAGGTGGACACTTGGTGCAGAAACCCGGTTCTGCGAGCTCACATACTTCATATTCCTCATGCAAAGCCGGGGCAAAAGGTGAACAGTTAACACTGCTCAAGGAGCAGCCGTGTTGAAACGCCAAGGAAGCCGACCACGGTTCCAACCACACCACACATGTCTGGT